TGGTTGGTCTGCTCCAACTGACAAGACCAGTAGTGGGACGGAGTATTCCATGAGGGATGAGAGGTTCTCAGGACGTCAGGAGCTGTTCTTCTCTGTCCTGGCACAGGGATAGAAAGCAGTGGTAGTGAATTTGAGGAGAGCACCACATTTCCCTGAGCAGCGGCAAGTTCTGGGGACCCTCCCAAGTGACAAGCAGTGTCATTCAAGCTGCTTTGCACCTTGGATGCACCTCCAAGCTGGAGTCCAAGAGGCTACATTGAAGAGTGGGTGAAGAAGCAGCCCCAGTGCTTTGCAGGATGGTTATTAAGTATTCACATTCTAGCTGCTGTTAAAATGTTTCACATAGTAGTATTTTTTTAACATATGTGATGCTTTATAATCTTCACATTTTAATAGTATGGTAATATGATTGTGATAAAGAAATCCAGAAAAAGCCATCAGAATTTCTAGAAACTTCTGGCAGATGAGACTGAGGTACCTAAAAAAAAAAAATAAATTTGTGAGGAGTGAGGAAAGAAATCTAAAAATATTTCTTCCCTTAAACTAGTTCATATTTGAGAATTATTTCTGTAATGTGCCCTACTTAGTTCAAAGAGCAGCCGTAGTGCCTCTGCAATATTTATTTTGAGTGTTTGTCAGTGATCTTTGATTTTAGAATTATGTTTTCCCATCAAGCTTATAGAATTAAAATTGTTAGAATTACCAAGCATGCCTTAATCAAAACCAGTACTTTTTAGGAATATTAGTCTTTCGTGCTATCACAGAATCAAAACTATTTACTTCTGAAAAACAATTTTAAAACTTGACTTTTTTTCCTGTACTATATACTAATAATATTTACATATAAAAATTTCATATTTACAAGTCCACAGAAGAACTGATTTTTGTTTTCCAAGTATTTAGCTATTTTAGATTACTGTGTCATTGAAAGTTTACTGAGAGAACTAAAGATGTACTATTACCCTGTTAGGAAAACAAAAGGTGACAGTAAATCTTTAAAGTGGTTACCTACTGCTGTCAAATGCCACGTTTGTGCTTTTCATGGTTCCATTAATGCATACAATTACAACAGCTGAATTTGTAATGAGAAATAACATAATAAATAAATGTAGAGACATTTTTTAAAAATTGGTAAAAAAGTGTGTAAATTAAAAGAGTTTCTTTTACATTATTGCTAACCTGGTTTCTTAGTATTTTCTAAGACTGCTGTCAACATATTCAGCAAGAATTTAATAAGCAACTTGCCTGTGTGTAACAGCTGTCCTGCTTAAAGTGCTTTGCACTAGAAAAATGGTTCACTTTTTTATGCGCTATTATAATTTTATAATTTAACATCAGTAACCTATGCGGGGGAAAAGTATTCTTTCTTCTGGGTAAAATAGCAAATACTTCATTTCTAGTAAGTATAAACTCTAAAAAAGGTGAATGTTACAGCGTAAAATTAAGACGGTGGTGTACGCTGTTCTGTGACTAGGGCGTCACTATGGAGCAGTAACTTGCGAGGGGTGCAAAGGATTCTTCAAGAGGAGCATCCGGAAGAATTTGGTGTACGCCTGCCGAGGAACGAAAGACTGTGTCATTAACAAGCACCACCGCAACCGGTGTCAGTACTGCCGGCTGCAGAGGTGCATCGCCTTCGGCATGAAGCAGGACTGTAAGTCTCCACAAGCCTGAATGACTTTAGCTGGCAGCTATGTTAAATCTGCTAGTGTAATAATACAAAGCGTTGTCCTGATTTTAGATTTTTAAGTTGTCGTATCTTTTTCCTTTAAGGAATTGTACAAGTTAGGCGTAGCAAGAGTCTGAAATGTTTTCAAGCATATGTATTGCTTGACAAACTTAATTAGAACATTGCACACGGTAAGAGTGAATGAGTTGTTTTTTTGTAGGTGGCAAATGCAAGCGTGTTTCTGTCTTTTATTTTTATATATGCAGTTCAATTTTTCTATGCATAAATTATTAAACGTTTTGAATCCTTGTACCTTCTTGTCCCTTTTTCCACAAGTTTACTGGCAATGGCTGATCACTTTTGGCAGAGCTCTGCAGAGACAGTTACTCACAAGGCAGAGATCTGTAGTAATCTAGAGTTCAGTTCTTAAATGACTCCTCCAGATTTCAGGTTCCTTTTGAGATTTTCTTACATTGGATGTAGTGATACTGCAATACCACAGCATTATCAGAATACTAATTACATAGAAAATTAGGCAATAAATGAATTCTTCAGCTCTACTACTGCCACGCAGTTGCTATATGCACAGTATTTGTCTTGTGCCTTGCTCTCTGCCATCCAACTCTGTTTTGCCGAACTTCTTGAACCTCTGTGGACATTCCCATCCTTACTGCCCTGATTCTGTGAGCAGAAACCAGTAACGCTTTTCCAGCACAGAGGAAGTTCATTCAGAAGGAGAGGAAAAGCTAGTAGGGAAAGTGGATCTTTACCCTGTAGTAAAACTGGTAGTACTTTGCCCCTCCACAGAAGACTTTTCATGCAGTACAAAATTCCTGGGGCAAGGGCTCACAAAACAGTAAAAGAATCTCTGGGTTGTGGGGGAATACTGAGTGGAGGAGAGGGTTGTTTTGGGATAAGAAGTCTCCTTCTTTAGTGAAGTGGGGAGAGGAAAGAAAACAGCTCTGTCTTGTACTGTAGCTCCCTCAGAGGGGTTATTTCTCCCTTGAAGAAATCTTGGCCTTTTCTCAGCAAACTCAGATCCAGCTAGTAAGCACAGGGTTAGCAAAGGAAGATGAAAGACTTTTGCCTCCATCTGCCACTCTTTCAAAGCACCATTCGTGGGTTATGCGCCAGCTTTAATGGCATTGTCAGTACTTGATATTATGACATTTGGGTTTATGGTACTTATCAATGTAAAAATTTTGAATAGCATCACAGTCTACTACTAACTTGAATCCGTTCTAGGTTTTTCTTTTAGTTACGCAAAATAAATAAGTAGTTAAATAATATCTATTATAGCTATCTAAAACATTATATTATAACTATTACATGAATAATATAATAGTTAAATATAATATTATAACAGTTAAAATATTTACACATTTTCCAAGACTGCACAACTTGAAGAAAAAAGAATTATTTCTTTTTTTTCCTATTTGCCTTTGTGTTTTAAAATAATAAATTCTCCTTACAGGCTTAAACAGTTTCTAAGTATAGTACAGGATTAAAGAGTCTCTGCTAGCCAGTGCCTATCAGGCTAGTGAATTGTTGCATATTTTAAATTATGTATAAGCCTGGTTTGTGACTGTCTTTCAATGTCTTACTCCAATCTGTAAAATGACTTGCAACACTCCAAAATTGTGGAAAAAGAACTTATTGCTTATTTTTTAAATATCTGTACTTTGTTTTTAATTAAGTTTTACAATTAGTTGCTGTTCTGTTTTTTTCCAGAAATTAAATCTTCCTTTTAAAATCAAACTGTAAACTTGTTTCTTTTAGCTTTATTCCATAGAGCTAGAGTTCCCCATAGCATATAATACTGTAAATTTCATGTTCATGATCTCTAATCCATCCAAAGCAAGGTGATGGATCTGTAGGCTAAAGCCCACATTCATTCCACCTAGTTTCAATGTGGTATTTAAATTAAAAATCTGCTTTTTCTCTGAAGTCAGGGATTGTGTGTCAGGATGTAGCCCAGATCTTAAATGATCAGAACTAAACTTTGTGAATGTCCCTTTCCCTCTGTATTCTCTCAGGTCCTAACCTGAGCAGCTTCTTTAAGTGTGTTAGGTTATGGGGCTTCAACCCAGACCCGCAGTCCATGGAAAAGGCTACCAAGAGTCTTTCACGAATCAACTCAAGAGTGTGAGAGAGTTAAATTGAGAGAAAGAGAAGCTGTAAGCCTCTACTAAAAGATCAAAATTAAAAATAAGATATAAATCGGTTTCTCCCTTAGTTGTAACTTGAAAAATTTAATGTCTATATGTTTGGTCTCAGACACTGAGTACTACATCATTTCATTAGGAACAAATCAAATTGTTAGCTTATTGGTTATGGGATTTTTTTTTCATTGTTATTTTCAGAATCATTATTAAAATTGCAGATTAAAGAGAGGACAAAAAAAGGAATATTTTTTTAGTCTGTAATTTTGGATGTGACTTAATATTTACATATTGTTTTGTTAGCTGTGCAGTGTGAAAGGAAACCTATTGAAGTGTCAAGAGAAAAGTCTTCAAACTGTGCAGCTTCTACAGAGAAGATCTACATTCGGAAAGACCTCCGTAGTCCACTAGCTGCAACTCCAACTTTTGTAACAGACAATGAAACAGCAAGGTATATAAATTCTACTCAGAAGAAGCTCTCTCTGTTTCCTAAAACAGGAAAAATGATTTTAAAATTAATCAAAATTAAAATGTGTGCTCTCTTGTGTCAGATCAACAGGTCTGCTGGAATCAGGAATGTTTGTTAACATCCATCAGTCTGCAATAAAAAGTGAGCCTACTGTTCTAATGACTCCAGATAAGGTATGTGGTGGCATGACTGCTGTATCTAGTACAGTTGATTGTGTGTAGGGAAGGAAGGGTGTTTTGTTTTGTTGTACTCCGGCTTTGTTAAATTCATTCTTAAAACAACCCTTACAACATTAGCCAGTGTTGCAAATGCCTTCTCTTCACAAGTATGCTTTTGGCCTTGCACAGTAAAAATACTAAAAACTTTAAGAATTCTAGATTTTTAGTCTTTCCTTAGGTTTAGAGTATTTTTTTGTGGGGCAGGGTGGGAAACATGCATCTTCCTGACTCTCTGAGTTGCTGGTCAGTTCTGAATGACCTTATTCCCTCGCAGTTAAATAAAGACATAAAACCAGAAAAAGCTGCAGCAGAATTCTTTTTCTGCTTGCTTTTAAATGTGACTTTTTATCCATTACTTCTTTTCAGACATTCTCTTACTCTATTACTACTGACTCATTTGCATTAGGAAGGAAGGAAGATGCTAAAAATATCATCTAGTGCAGTCTTACAGTCCTGATGACTGACTAGTGATTGGAGATGATAAATTCCCTTTCTGTACTTGTTTACCATCTGTAGCATTCTTTCTGAAAGAAACAGATAGCTAGTACTTGTAAATGTCTAAATATTTCATATTTTAGAAGCAGTGCAGTGTCAAATTGCTATGTTATGATTAGCCATTTACTGAAAACAGTAATATGGTCTATTCACATACTCAGTTCTTCATTTATGTAAAAGTTATTTTTCTATTTCATGTTAACTGTTGCCAATATGAGAGAATTAAGAACTGTACTTTTCCCTTAGGTTGAAGCATGTCAGGGAGACTTAAGTACACTGGCAAATGTGGTGACCTCGCTAGCAAATCTCAGTAAATGCAAAGACGTGTCACAAAGCAGTACAGACCTATCTATGATTGACAGCTTAAGTAACGGAGATGCATCGTTATCTGAACTCCAGCAAGAACAAGAAGGTGGTAGTGATGTTACAAGGTAAGGCATATTACAGTTGAAAATACTATTCTTTTTGAAGTCTCTCTCAATTCAGACTATTAATAAAATCATCACGTTGCAGGAAATCTATCTGCATTAAAAATAATAGTGATACAGCTGAAGCTCATGTAGAACATAAATCATGTAAGATTCCTCCAAGCGAAATCCAAGTGAATAAGGAAGTTCCCTTTGAGAAATAAAGTATTTTAGCTGTTTGTACTTGAAATTAATTTCACTGTAAGTGTTACAGCTGTTTTTCTTACCTTTTGGTTGGCCTTAATAATGGTGTGTTAGATATTGGACTATAGTCAGTATTTTGTATCATCCTGGAAAACTGTTTCTTAGAGATCTCATCTATGTAAGTAGTCTAATGCCTGTAACTATTAGTTGCTTTAAAACCTTGAAATGTTTTAACCTTGTAGCTTAAAAGCTACATTCCTTGTGTGTCTTACAAGCTTGTCTTGCCCTGGTTTTAGCTGAGCCATTTTGGTGAGCATCAGTGCAAGATGCTCCATGTAGTACATGCTGTTATTCCATCAGTCACTTTGGTTGTCATCTCATGCAAGGTTCTGACAGCTGTCCCAGCAATATTCCTTTACACACTATCTACATTTTGGTGACACACATTTAGTGTACAACTTGGCTGCTAGCATCCCACAGCTTTTATATTATGATGTTATATGCCTTATCCTCTAATGGCTTCATTACTTATGTTCCTTTTTTTTTCAGTTTATCAGCAGCCCTATGTATCTGTTAATGTATCTGTCACTGACTGAGCCCGATGAAAAGAGAACCAAAGTTGTTCCTAGCGAAGGGAGTGCAGGGGAAGAAAAGGTAGCAAAGTTCTACTCCAGACTTCAGCGTTACATCAGTGAATTTAGGTTCTGTGGTAATAACCATGTCTGTAGATTGACAATCAGCTCTGCGTACAAGCTGATAGTCAGTTTTTGTGAAGTTTTCAGACTTCGGTGCATAAGTTTTTCATGCAACGCTGTATACAGATGATACTGCTCTCATCTAAAGACAGTGATCAAGTCTGTATATTTTTGATTGAAGGTGTATCAGTTGTGGTTCTCAGTTGTATTTGTGAACAGAAAAACAACAGATCTGTTATCCAGCAGCAAAATAGTTAGCAATATATCTGTGCCTGTCCTAACATCTGCCCTGTGATGTTCGTGCATGTGACAGGAGGCACTGCCCCACATCAAAGGGTACTAAGAGTGGTACAGAAAGCACGAGTGCTTTTTCTTACATATCTCAAAGTGGTCTTTTCAAATTAAGTTGAATAACCTAACCACTTTAAAAAAAATTACTCTGTTTGTGCTTCATAGCAGCAAAAATCTGTAAAATTTATACGTGCATTTAGTTGCTTTAACAGCAGTTTGATCCTGTCCTCAAAGCACTCATGCCAGCGCTCTCAGTAGGCATCGCTACAGAGATCTTGAAAGGCAAACTGTGATTCAGCAGCACAGCCAATATGTCAAAACTGTGAACTTGTTGGCAACTAGTGTGAACAGGACCTGCTGCTAGTTTTTGTTTCAGAGCCACTGTAAGTTGGAGTTTTCAGGGATTTAGTTCAGTGGAGCGTCAGGAAAAGCATACCGGTGACTTTCGTTTTCCAAATCTGGTTCTTTGAAACAGGCATCTAAATACAGGTTTCAGACATGAGCAGGTTCCTCCTAAATTGAAACAGTCAATGAAATTAAATTTCCTTTTCTTTTTTGTTCATTGTGATCTTACAGGGCATTTGATACTCTTGCAAAAGCATTAAATCCAGGAGAGAGTGCAGGGTGCCAGAACTCTGAAGGTATTGAAGCTGGTGTGCAGCTAATTGGAGGAGAAACGAGCATGAATATCGTTGAAATAGAGGGGCCGCTACTCAGTGATGCGCATGTAGCCTTCAGGGTACTTAATACTTTTATTCTGTTGGCTGTTTATACATGTTTTAACCCAGTAATGTAAAATAATGACCTGATTAAATCGTATTTTGAAAATACCAATTTGAATGGTATTTTTGGCATTCATTCTGATGAATACATTGCTTTTGTTCACTGGTTAACTAATAGTTTGGGAAAATGTTCATCTCTCTTCAGTGGTTTAGCAGCACTGCTTATTTTATAGCTTTCTACCTTAAAAATACTTGGTAATCCATGCAGAAGGATTTACAATGACAAGTGTTGCACGCAGGGAGTCAGCATCCACATCCTCACTTGTTACCAGCTGGATCTGATGTAATCTGCAGCTGGATTTTGAGGCTCTTAAGCGCATTTGCGGTGTCTCCTTTGTGTATATACCCTGGTTTAGTATGGTATTAATTAACTTAAATCATAAGGGAAAAGAAGGTTTCTTTGTTCGTGAGCCATACGTTTACTGGGTTTATTTGTCATTTTACAAGCCTGCAGAAATTCTCCTATCCATTATTTTCACCTTATTATTGCTCACAGACAAATCAAAAAGGTTGCTCGTGAAAACTTCAGTACCAGACATTTTATTAAACTTTGCCCCATTCATCAGCATGTTTTGGTTACTCAGATAGACATCTCTCTAACGCAAATGTCAGGGTTTTTTTTTAAATTGTGTTAGCCAAACCATTATATTAAGAAATATTACTTTTTGAAAATAAAGCTACAACACTATAATTAGCGGTTTGTGGTCAAATCCCACTTTCTTCACATACAGAGGTAACGGCACTAATTTTACGTATGTTGAGAAAGTTAGAGCTACTCCTTCCTAATGTATATTGATTATATTTTTAGGACTTGGGAGCAGCTGTATATTAGGTATTTTACTCGGAGATCAAAAGATTTTTGACATATTTATTTGTAAAGTGTTAAAAGTACAAAAAGAAAAGGGCCTGTGAAGTAGAATTCAGACACACACATACACTGTCCCCAGGAGTTGTGGTAACTCCTCTAATTTCAGTTATTCCACTCCTCTGAGGGAAGCTTTAGAAAGTGATGTTGCCTCACTGTGTGTATTTTTTTATGTATTTATCTATATATAAATGAAAGCAACTTCATTCTAGTGACAATGAATCTTCTAAAACTTGTATTCTTTGAGGTTGTCTCAAAAGTTGAGTTTTGTTTGGGATTTTCCATCTCCCACATATTAATTCTTATCTAAGAAAAGGATTAAAAATTTTTGCCTTTTTTGTTGCTTTGTAGTTGCTGTAACATATAATAGTGTAGCTGATAATGAAAAAGGCAGTCATTCAGTTTTATTTCAGGATTAATTTGTTTATTTTAAAAACAATTCTACTTTTTCACTTAGAAGAAGCTGTAAAACTGACTTTTTTTCTAATTTTTTTTTTTATGAAGAAAGTAAAATAACTGACTTGCACTGTTTTGTTTTGTTTTTTCCCTTTTCTTTTCTTTGGGGATGGGGTTGCCAGCTCACCATGCCTTCTCCTATGCCTGAGTATCTTAACGTTCACTATATCTGCGAGTCTGCCTCCAGGTTGCTTTTCTTGTCCATGCACTGGGCACGTTCCATTCCTTCTTTCCAAGCTTTAGGGTAAGTATTCAGTTACTCAGTTTACTCGTGTTGTAAATATGCACTTTTTCATTTTTCATTTTCCCTGTATTCTTCAAGGGCATTTTGAAATATAAAACTGTTTTGTAGATCTTCATCGTGAAGGTAAATTTTTTTAATCAAAACTACTCCCTGCTTCATTCCACTTCAGGCACTTTGGTTGGGTTTTGAAGGAAAGAGGAATAGGTTTACTAACAGTCAAATGCCTGCACACTGCTGCTACTTTAATATATTTTTACTAATTTGTAAAATACACATTCATATGACATCCTGCTTTTCTAGCAGAATTCAAAGTATCACTTAAAATTCTCAAGCTAAATGTAGTAGCCTGTTGCGGATCATCATGAAAAAACATCTCATAACAGGATGGAGAAAAGTGATTGATGTAATTTTGAGAAGTAATTTTGTGAAGATACATCAAACATAAGCACTATCAGCTCTGACACAAATGGAGTATAAATCATGTTTCTCTGCTCTCATCTACAGTGTTTTTCTTTAATTCAATATTGAAATAGGGTATGACTGTGGCAGCAAAGAGAATTCCTTTTTAAAGTAAGGGATTGTCCCCTTTTCCAGGAAATCTGTCAAAAGCAGGATGATCTGTGATTGTCATTTGTGTTTACTCAGATGTTTACACCAAATGATTCTACACTGTTTAAGGAAAGATACTATATTGTGTGTAATTGAAGTCTGTGTTTTGGAGAAGGAAAAAGTAAAATTCTATGAAGTTAAACAATAGCGAGGGTAAAAAAATCAGGTAAATATGATATTTTGTTTTAGTAGAAGTTGTTGTCCTGCAGACTTTTGAAATATGTTTTTAAATACAAATTAAAACAAATTAACATAGTAGATTATATCATTATACATTTTTAAAAGCTTTCTGTAACAGAAAGACACTGCAAATTAGCAATTAATAGGCATTGCTTTTTGAAAACGAAATTTTGTACAGAAGACCTGTTTCTATGAAAAAATTTAACAAGAAATGCTTCTAGAAAATCTGCATTTGTTTTTTAAATATATTAGTTCCCAATGTATGTTTCTATTTATTCTATTTGAATAAAAAAAAGAGGAGGAGTAGGCTGTCCTAATTGCATTAATATTTACCTGTGCTAGCATTTACAGTCCCAGTCAAGGTTGTGGGCTACACCATTTAACATAACTATACAGTTTTCCTTTTGAAGAGGTTAAATGCTATTTTTACTTTCAAGTGAAGATTTATTTGAAATTAAAGCAGCTTTTTTAGTTTGAGTGCAGTATGTACTATAATTTTGACTTTTAGAAAGGTGACTTCTTTCACTTTTAAGCTGAAGAAAAATTCATGGCACTAGTAATTGAGAGGTGTTGGCGAGGCAAAACAAAAGCACAGTAGTGGTTTTGTAAGGAAGATAGGTAGTTCTATCCAGATGGTTCCCTCCTCAGGCAATGTTTTCCTTAGTCGGGCAAGAGAGTTGGCATTGGCACACTGAATGGAGTTTATGACACCAATGCATTGCTTAGCTCGTCTTCCTGAATGAGGATCTCTGTAGGCAAGAGAGATTCCTACTGAGACGTTCATCAAGCTGATTACAGCGTCTTAGTTTTTTGAGCTTGTACTTGAAAACCTAGCTTTAATATGCTTTTCTTCTCTGATAGGTCTTGTGCTTCTTTTAAATTTCCGTTATATGTATTTACTGGCTAAAACAATGAAAAATGGTATCTGAATTTGACTCCTCACTGGTAGGATTTCCTTTTTAAGGTACTGAGCTCTCGTTAAGCTCTACAAGGTAGAGATGCTTGGCCATACTGAAAGTTAGGTTACTAATATGGAAGTGCCTGAATATGATCTGACATGTTCCATTTGACATGTATTTTTAATTAAAAAATTACACCAACCTGCCAGATATCAAATTAAAGAATAGACCTCTGAGTCTGTTCTACATCCATAGTATAAGAACAATGCAGACTTTTCTGTCTGTGCATGTAAATGTTATTCAAGAATGAGTGTAAATCCTAAGAAAATGAGCATGATGGAATATGCCTAGACAATTGCCATTTATTGCAACTTCAGCTTGCTTTTGTGATAGACACCTTATCTCCTTTTAGATCATGAAACCAAAAATTATGTCATTACAAAAGTCACTCTAAACCAGGTACTTTAATTCTGGCATGTAAATAAAAAGGTTTTTGATGCAGGGCTTCATTTTGGCACTGGTTGCAATGGTTGAATTAGATGAATGTTTTATGAACTGTTCTTCTAATTAAAAAAAAAAAAAAGTGAATGTAAATGGCTGGTTTTATTAAGTGAAATTATTGTATTTTTTAATAGACAGGATAACAGCATATCATTAGTAAAAGCCTGCTGGAATGAACTTTTTACGCTTGGCCTTGCACAATGTTCACAAGTTATGAACGTGGCAACTATACTAGCTGCATTTGTTAATCACCTTCATGGCAGTTTACAGCAAGGTAAGGTGTTTACTGTGCTCATTGCAAGACTTGGGGAATTCATGGGTTTTAAGTTTGAACTTAAAAAAGCAGAAACTTTTTACTTCAGCTGTTCATGGAAATTTTACCTTAATATGTTACTTTCAGCTGTTAATGAAAATTTAGTGTTTATAGAGTTTCATGGTTACTATTGAAACAAAATAATACTAGAAAATACAGTTCAGAAGATGGCTTTTTTTTTTTCAAAAGTCAGCTATGCTAATACCCCCAAATTAAAAAAAAAAAAAAAAAGAAAAATCACCTATCAAGGTTAGTATTTACTGGGGTGGTTTTTTAGTATGTCTGTGTAATGCCTTCTAGTGTTCTGCTGTTCTGTTAATATTGCCAAGTCAAATTAGGACTATTTCAGGCGAATCAACATTAAGAATGCAAATGTACTGTGAATATGATTCCTCTGTACCAAGAGTATAAAGTGTGACCCACCTGGCCTTGCTGTTCATAGCTGTGACCCAGATGTCAACTTGACATTGACTTCCTTTACATAACTTGGCTTGTTGACTTCTGTACAGTAGTTTTAGACTACATGCAAGTCTTCCACAGATCTTTACTAGGTGTCCTTGGTTCCTTATTAATCCTACATCCTACATCTTTTGCATATGTCTCATTCAAATGAAGAGATGTCAGTTGGCCTCCTCTTTCATTTATGCTGCAGTGAAGGAAATGTTCTTCTGAGTGGTGGGGAGTCTTTTAGCTGATCCTCTTTGTGTGCTTGTGAACACTCACAAAGCTGTCAGCACTAAAAGCTAACCAATCAAAACCAGTATAGTCTTCATCTGATCATAGTCTTAACACATTTTAATAAGGTTGATGCGTACATAAAAAGCTTCGCATTTACAGGTTTAACTAGATCTTTTATTTGCTATTACGTATATGAAAACTCACTGTTGTTAATGCTATTCAGAAACAGATTGGTAAGCTGTAGAAAAACAGCCCACCAGACTATAGGTTTTTTCTCTGCTTTTATGATGAGAAAGTTAATTATTTCTGAGGGGTTTTATTCTTGCCATTTACTTTGGGAATTCGGATTGAATGCACAACCCAGAAATTTATAACCAATGTCTTGCAGCTGTGCAGCATGCCAGCTGCAGCATCTCCAGGAGATAATGTTTGTGGGATCCAGGGACCCTAGTTTGATGGATTATGGAGGGAACGGGATTTTCAGGCTGCTTAGCTATTGCTGCCCCAAGGGGAAGAGCTCTGCACGAACCACATTCCCCTAGGTGCAAATCAGGAAGGATGTGTAGCACACCTCCTTTTCCAGCTGTGGCATGGTCTTTGGCTAAAATAACCCACAAAACTTTACACTAACCTGCCTTGTGGCACCTGACCCTTCGACACAGAATACAGATCTGCAGTAGCAGTGTGTTCTTTACTTACAAGTAGCATATCCCTTCCTTGATCACTTCAGGCTCTAGTCCACCCCTGATTACTGAAAGCTTTGGTGGAAAGAAGAGACACAATTGTACGGTGCCAGGGGGGAAAGAAGGGATTGTTCCTGTCCATAATTATTGGTGTCAAGATTGTTCAGAACTACTGTGTGAGTGTATATATGGTGTAGATTTCCCACTGTTTGCATCTAATAAAATACTTGTTTTTAAAAATCCAGTGTAACTACATTTTTTGCATGTGTATTGACTTGGGGTTTTATATGTGTGTTGACCTAGACAAGCTGCCAACAGACAGGGGAAAACTAGTAATGGAGCATATCTTCAAACTGCAAGAGTTCTGTAACAGCATGGTTAAGCTTTGCCTAGATGGATATGAATATGCATATTTGAAAGCAATCGTCCTCTTCAGTCCTGGTATGTAAGTTATTTCAAATGTAAAATTTTAATCTGTGCTATTTTGTGCTGTATATTTTCTGCCTGTTTCATTATATACAGTTACTATCACCTGTAGAATTACTGCCTCACTTGTTGAGGAATCTTGGAAGGTGAACTTGTGTAATGAGAGTTAATACAAATCTTTTACTCTTGCCTCTGCCATTGATATTTTAAAAATATTTATTTATTGCTTTTGATGCCCACTCCATGGAGGTGTTTAAGGCCAGATTGGATGAGGCCTTGAGTAACCCAGTCTAGTTGATAGGTGTCCCTGCCCATGGCAGGGAGGTTGGATTAGATGATCTCTAGGGTCCCTTACAACCTAAGCCATTCTTTGAGTCTATGATTTCTGGAGTACTTTTCCGAGGATCTGCAGTTTAATTTTCAAAAGTGTTGCTCTTACACATCCAGCTGAGATGGATTGAAGCTGGGTTTTTAATGTATGAAAGACAATCTCTCTGGGCATCGATTCTCAAATGTAAAATTACAGAAACATATCACCTCACTTCACATAGGTGTTTTTAGAATAAATATCACATGTAGTGTTTCTGGTGAATCAACACTGCAGACATTCCCTTATATTATTATTTCTGTCTTCTGAACAAAAAAAAATTAGCCGAGGTGAGAAAAATCTTTTGGAAATTGAACACTTACAAAATGTAAATTTTAAGCATATTTTCTAATATATATAGATATACACACAAGAGTTGTGAGGTTCTTGTTTTGCAGTTTCCCTCATATTTACATGACCTTTTCTATATGTATTATCTACAAGGAGCATCCATATTTCCCAGTGGAAGTGGCAGCATCAGCAGAAATCCATGGTACTCATCTAAGTGCACAACAAAACTCTACATATCTTCCATTGTGTTTTTCCTTGTCTTTTTTTTTTTTAATGTTGCATTAATGGAAGAGTTCTGAGATGAAAGACGTTCTTGCAAGTAAGAGGCAAGTAGCGGCAGAACCCTCCAGGAAAGGTGATAAATCCCCAGAGGATATCCCAGCAATACTCTTCTATTGTGGATCACTTAGAAAAGTCAGATCCTGAGAGTTTTCACTGTAGAACGTAAACCTGCTCTGTCCTCACAACTGGGAGAATCTTGCAAGGTTTTGTGTGTTTGCTTCTACAGTCCGTGGAAGCACACAAACAATTTCAGTTTTCAGATAAGCAGCACTGACCATGAATTTAATTGTTATATCAAGAATGCTTTAAAATGTTCGTAATTTTTCTTTTCCGCTGAGGACTGAAAAGTTACCTGCACTTTTCACTGTTATTTCAGAAGAAGCAGAGGCTTTAATTAGAGGGTATTTGCTTGTTTAATTTTAGATAATGCTTGTAGGAATCTGAATTCTCCCTTAGGTGTTCATTACCCCAAAGTAGTCGTTTCATGGCATTCTTCTACTCAGAACTGGTACAGGTTGCTCCGGGAAAAACAAAATGATGGAAGAATACCTCAAGCTCATTTTTCTAGCACAATGTCTGCTAGGATTTGTGACAGAATTTGTTGGCCTGTTTGAAGAAATCAGTCCATTTAGACATAGGAAAATATTCTTCTAGGAACCCTACACTTGCAAAGTAATATTTACTTATTTGTTTAGTAGGAAGTTAATTTGTCTCTTCAGGTTAGGTTTGACAACACAAAAGGTAGCAGGAAAAATATCAGGGAAAAAAACTATATCCAGTCACATGATTGAGATGAATTTTTGTTAGCTCACAAGCTTTCAGGATCATATTTCTAATGATGCATGGCTGCTTTAATGGCAATGTGTTGTCAGTATTATTGATCCCGTGAGCCATATGACAAAATCTTCATAAACCTGAAAGTCTGTTGAGTACCTTGAGCAGAAGAGATGTTCTGGCAATGATACACAAGGCAGAAATTAAAATTTCAGGGATTTTACTGCTCTGCTGCAGAATGGGGCTGGGCTTGCATGTACAGCACAGTCCTAAGGTAAGAGCATCTGCTTCAGTACGCTCTGCTATTTGCTGTCTTCCATAGCTGGAGACTTGAAGATTATTGAACATCTGTGCCAGGCCAGCTGTTTGACTGCCACAAGACAGCCTTGGGCAGAGAGGTGGATGTAAAGGGACTACCTAGAAGACTTTGTATCTTTTATAAATGTCTGCTAGTGTACTAGCAGTGGTCTACAAACCACTGTTTTTGGAAGCTGACTTTTAGCTGTGTTTCTAACATCACTCTGAAAACGGCGTCATGAAGAGATGCATATTGCCTGTCAATGGCAACTCTTCAAAATGTGTTGCTTCTGTATGAACTTATCTTGTCCTCTTGTCCTCTGAATAAGTTTGAAATCATGCTTTTAGGACGACTGAACTACTTGATCCCATGAGGACAAAATATTTCTCTATGAAATAATGTGTTCAGGGGAATCCTGAACACATAACTGCTAAACTACTCTGAAAGCTTCTTTATGTGCAGAGTTAGTCCAAAGCCTCCTAATTTTGTTGACAGAAGGCCATATGTATGGAGTGGAGTGACTGTTAGAAATCTTTTATCTGACATAATTTGGCAGCTCATCTATGATCATATTTCTGAAAAATAAAATCTGTATGATCTGTCATGCTACTATGGCAGTAAAATATTTACATCAAGATAGATGGATAATAAAAATTACAGACTATAAGAAGTTGTCAGAATTACCAGATAATAATTTCCAAATGTGACTTGGCAGTTAGGTTAATGTAGTTTCATTTTAACAAGATTTATATTTCGAGTGTTTAATTCACCACTAAAAATTGTTTAGCACATTTGAAAATTTTACACCAAACGGCTGAAGAAGAATCATCTGCTCCATATCTTTTACAGTTTTTAGGAAACAAATGGTTCATAGCCTTTTATTCTGCTACTGATCTTAATTTTATCCTTCATTTCCCACCCAAGTGCTATTTGTGCAGACGGTATTCCAATAAATGTCAGCATATTGAAACAACGCTGTTCTACTGCTACAAAGCTGTATCAGCAAGATTGATGTAAACGTTGCAAGCACTGCATTTACTTGAACTCTTCAAAATATCTGATTGTATTTATGAAAAACTAAGTAAAACATAAACTTAGGGGAAAAGAAATATAAGGGGGGGCTAAAGCAGTGTCCTCCACTAAAGCTGTGAAGTTGCTACAGCTCCCAAATAAATATTTCAGTATGTTTACAATTAGAGTATCTGTGTGGATTTTAGTGCATCATATATAGAACTGGTGTAACAATGTAGAGTGGGGTTTTGTTTTTCAGACCACCCAGGTCTAGAAAATGTGGCACAGATTGAGAAATTTCAAGAGAAGGCTTACATGGAGTTCCAAGACTATGTAACAAAAGCATATCCCGATGATACTTACAGGTCTGTAAACTTGAATGCCCACTTGATTGATTCTCTTTTCAGAGCATCAAGTGATACTTATTTGTACAGTGTTTATTGCAGTAACTATGTAAATTTTCTTCATACCTCCATAAAGGTGAGAAATTACCTTCAGAGCACTTCAGATATTATGCATGCACTCATAAGTACCAGGAGTGTCGTTTACCTACTCATTCATTATTGATTTCCAAAATGAAATATTGAAAATAAAATATTTTTAACGTTTTCATTTTTAATTGAACCTACTTGGAATATTTCCTCGTTTATTCTAAATCCAGACATTATACAGTCCATGTAATAGACAGGCACACGCATATTTTTTGCATTGTTGAAGTCACGACTGAACGTAAATTCAGTACTCTTCTCATTTAAATATTTAAGCCTTTTAATGAACTAGATCTAGTGAATTTTGACCAGTATTGTGCCTTGTTAATTTTTTCTTTTCTCTTACTGATAACATGATTGTGAATAATAGTACCAACACCTGTGACCACAAGTAACCCTTGAACAAACTTCTTTTCCAGACTGTCTAGACTTCTTCTGCGGCTGCCTGCTCTCCGGCTGATGAGCGCTGCCATCACGGAGGAGCTGTTCTTTGCAGGACTCATTGGCAACGTTCAGATCGACAGCATCATCCCCTACATCCTGCGCATGGAGACCGCCGACTACAACTCGCAGATCATCGGCCACGCCCTATAAGAGCAGCAGGCAAGGATTCTGTACCATGGCACTCGTGGTGGTGTAAATGCGTACCCTGTCTCCAAGAGATGGCGAGAAGCCTTCCCCTGCACCTTTCCAAAGAAGGCTAATATTCCTCCTTTCCAGGACACTTGGGAAATGTGGTGGAGTGTATTGAGAAGTGTAGGATCACTTCCTGTTTTTCATCTGATCTTCAAGGACTTGTAAATTAACTTGATATCTGAAGAAAGTCAAGAATTGTCCATCCTATTTTTGTAGATAGATGAACTTGGAATATTTGTTTATGAAATCCAGGCTTGTGAAGAAGCTGAAGAAGCTTTGACTGAACTAAGGTATCTCAACTTAGTTTGATGTTTTAGATAAATAAATTAACTTTCCTCTCTGAGTTGTGTTTTCAGTGTTTTGCTGCTAGTTCTTTCTCACTGATCAAATGGGAAATATATGTTAAAACATCCTGAAAAGGCCAGTGTTTCTTTGGAAACAGGACAGTTTCAAACAAACTTACTTTTTCCTAATGTTTTGAGAAGAGATTTTTTCCTAGTTGAATGAAACACTGGACAAGTTTTCCATTACAAGTACAGGGAAAGTAGAGGAGTTCCCATTTTTAAAAATTCTGATGATACATTGATGCAGTTGATCCAAAGTGAAGCAGCAGAGGGTCAGTACTGAGTGCTGTGGGGGTACAAAGGAATACTGTGTCATGGTATTACATCTTGGTGGATATCAACTGTTTTATACTATGAAAAACTAACAGACAGGTGTATACTGCAGGCATTCAAAGAGCGTATCCTTCTGTTTTTTCTGATTTTGGAAGTTAAAGCAAAAGCTTTAACTTTTTCACACTGCTCATCCCTCTTTCATACTCAGTGCATGACGATGGAGGCATTCCAGATACCTCTTAACTTGTCTTAGTATATTTATTTTTTATGGTTAGCCTTTAGCTACATAGTTCTCTTTTCCAACCAGTCTCATATGATTATTTTTTAAATGTGAATTTTTCAAATCCAGTGCCCCTCCCTATGGGAGCATGGTCTCTGCTGCTTTTTCCTTTCCTTATTAGAAACAGGTCTAGATAGTTCATACATGTTTTCTCAGTCATACTCCATAGCTCCATCTAGGGATGGGTTTAGATGATTTCTATCCTGAGGTATGTGCCTCGGTGAAGAGAACTCTGACACAGGGCTGCTTCTTGCTTCCTTTTGCAACAGGAAGTTATACATCCCTGGCACGTGTAGCATCTGTTGCTTAAAATGAGAGAAGTATCCTACAAGAAGTGGTGATCTACCTCTGACACTAGCATTTAGAATTACCTAAATCATGGCCCAAGGCCGGGTTGTATTTACCATGAACCTTCTCTTTCTCTGGCAGCATTGGGTGAGGAAGGGCCTCACCCAGTGAAGGAACACATGGTTGTACCAGAAATTGCTTGGCCAAAATATCAGCTTAAAAGGGGGCCTTTGCCCACCCTACACTACAAGTTTCAAGGCCACCCTAACACCAAAAGACTACTCTATGAGGCTTGGATGAGTTCTGTAGTTTTTCTCACCACCTGAGGATTTCAATCCAAAGTTCAGCCAAAAAGAATGAAGAGAGCTGCCTCTGACACTGAATTTCTCTGTTGTTTTCAATTCCACTTAACTGAGCTGCTTGGATCTTCCTCCAACCAAGCTCTGTAGTCTGAGGCTGTACTAGAGGATCAGCCATATCCAATACCACAGACCAAAGTGCTCGCTGCTGAGGACCCCTGATGGGATGGAACCAGCCCCTGGCTCTGCCATGGCACTTACTGAGGTGCTGCAGGAGAGCCGTCAGCGTCGGAGCTGGCCGTGGCAGCTGAGCTCTTCCCAGTCTACCTTGTGAAGGGTGCAGGATTGATCCAAGCTCTTCATCTGTGTTCCCTGGAGGGCAGCCCGAGGACTCCTCCTCTGCATCTCAGGAGGTCTGCATCTCATCAGCAGGGTTTATGGAAATATGAAAGACTGTTGCTGCCAATATGTTGTGCTTGTTCTCTCCCCAGGGGTTAAAGGCCCACCTTGCTATCTGCAGGGCCAGGTTTGCAGGTGAGAGGTACATCATTCTTCAGTTCAGTTCTCCTTAGGAATTCGGACCCCACTTTCTAGTCTTGTGCTACCCCTAGCCCCCTTCTGACCGCAGCAGGCATTAGAGAGTTACAGTCCTCCGTGTTAAACCTTTTAAGGAAGCTGACACCACATTGCTCCTGAATATTTTGGAGGTGGTTTCCCAGGTGTTCCAATACTCTTGGAATAGTTTTACTCCAATATTCTCCAATTCACGTAACACAGATAATAGTAAGATGGGAGAAAAAAAAGCTCGTTTTCCTTCTAAATGCTGTACACTGTGCAAAACTCTCTCACGCCCTCACAGGAATATTTCACTCCATAGCTCGAGCCTCGGGTGTGATATGGAGTTCTTTGTTTAGAGCTGTCCAAAAGGTTCAGCTGATGCAGCCTCTTGCATGGTACTGTCCAACTTCAGAAACAGCTGAGAGAACACCTGTGTTTCTACAGACATAGATCTTCAGGGTTTAAATCCGTCAGCTCCTCCATCTTTATCATGGTGCATATTTTTTTGGAAGGGACCTTGAAAGATCATCCAGTCCCACCTTTCATGGGAAAGGGAGCCTAGATGAGATTATCTGCCATCCCTGTCCAAACACATCCTGAAAACCTCCAGAGATGGGGACACACCACATCCCTGGGGAAGCCGTCACTGTGACTGATGGTTCTTGGCATAAAAAAAAAATCTTTATATCAGCATCTCTAAGACATTTCAAAGATTATAGACTGGACTTGCATCAATGCCAGCCACTTCTTTTAAGACCCTGGGGTGGATTATGTGTGGGCACATGGATTTATGTGAGTTGAGCCCTTGCAAGAGGCTGTAAACCCATTACTGGTGGGTTAACACATTCATTGTCGCAGCAACTTGATCTTGTGCTTTGTGGTCCAGCTATGCTAGTAAAGAGAGAGGCAGAGAAGACAGTGAGAAGCTCTGCCTTGTTGGCATTAGTGAGTAGCCTCCCTGCCATCAGGCAGTGGGCCTGTGTCTTCCCTGTGGTGCTGCTTACTGCTCACCTACCTGAAGAACACCTTGTTCTTGATATCTTGGGTCAATTTCAGTTCTAGATGAGCCTTAGCTTTCCTGACTGCATCTCTGCATGCCTGGCGAGGTTCTTACAGTCCTTGATGGGGATTCAGCTGCCTTTCCATTGTTGGTATGCTGCTTTTTTGCTTTTGTTTTTATTTGCTTTTTTGACAGAGAGCCATTTTAGAGAGGGCGGCCTCAAATGTATTTCTTTGGATTTCTGTTGCTGCTTCCTCTTCATGACCTGGTCTGAGTACAAGTTAGCCTACTTCAGTAACATGTGAACTGCCATTACCACTGACTACTGGGTCAAGAGTACTTTCTTAGGACGTGTTAACTCAAAAGCACAAGAACCTTGGGTCATGTTTCACATCAGGTTGTTTAAATTCAGGTGTTCAAAGCCTGTACCTGCTGTTCCTTTTTTATGCCTGTCACCTCTGCTGGGCAGCAGAAGATCCAAATCTCGATGGGTGACTTTTTCCCTTCCCACACGTTTTACTGTTCTTTTCCTGGCAAATCTGTTTCACTTTGTCCAGGATTTCTGCCAGACCACTGAATCAGGAAATTCAGCCATCCATGTTTATTTCTTTTTAAATCCTGTATTTTTCAGGTCTGGGATTTCCCTTCACTTGTTGGGCAGTGAGAGAGTATTGTCATCTTCTTTGCACGGGAGAGAGACTTTCAGATTATCTTTAATCTAGTTCTCTTGACCAGCTGAGAAATCAAACAGGATAACCACCTCCAAACTAGGTAACGGACTGTATCGCCGCTCTCGAACGGTGTGGGTGAGTCTTCACCAGTGGTCAGGATGTACTCTGATAGTTCTCGGACCACACTTGGGGTGTGGGCTTTGCTCAAGGATGGCTCTCTTAACTGTCTTTGCAAACTGGACAACTAGTTTAAGACATCTTCATCCAAAGAACCAAGAAGTCTCTGCCAGTCACCTTTCTCGGACAATACTGGGACAGTTAATTATCTGTGATGTGGTCGTCTATATGGATGTGCACATAAAGGAGAGTTGCTTATCTCAGAGAGGTTCCAGCTAATTGTGTGTTGTCCACACATGTGATAACCAGATACCCTTCTCCCTGCCTGTGTGTGGCTGGCAGGATGTTCTAAGTTTTTGCTTGCTGTCAAGTCAAGGAAAACAGATGTGAGCACATACCCACAGTACTGTGAAGACCAAAAAAGCCCCATTTTATGATCCGGAATACCTCTGACGTTTGGACCTTGATAGAGCAAATGTGCACACACACAACACAAGGCAAAGAGCTCTGGCTGCTGGTAAGTAACCTTTTTTTTCCCCCAAAATTTTCTTACATTTTTTCATAGTAATACATTTTCATCTGAAGTTCAGTATTGATTCAAAGGTCCAGTGCAGCTGGTCTATGCTGCCTGGCAAGTACTCTCTTGTCTTCACAATGATCTAGAAGCTGGATTCCATACTGCATGTTTTTGCTTCGCGCTGCTTACTTTGCTCATAAAGATTTTTCAATAATCATTTAACAATGACTTCATTAATAATTTGTAAACTATAAATTCATGCTTCTGATAAAGAATGAGGCATAACTGAGTTTTCTCAGGAATGGGAGTTTTAAAACAGGTAAATTAATACTGGGATGAATGTGTTTTTTTTTTATTTCTGGATGTTAACCATTGAAGTCATCTGAGAATAATACAACAGGTCATGGAAAGGCTAAACAGTGAAGTTCTGGGTTTCTTGGTTTCTTTTTTTTAAGGTAACTGCTGCTCAGTTAACTGGAGGGTATTAATTTACCTTCAGCTCAGGCCCCTTGTGTTTCTAACAGCTATTTTTTGTGATGATGTGTTATCACGTTACCACCTGTGTGATTTATTGTCATTCATAGTCTTGTGAATAAATGTTCTTTGTTACAGAATGGAAGGCTGGCTAATGTTACTGGTTTCTTTCATGCTCTTCAGTAACATTGTTCATCAGTTAACAAAAAGGTGAAAATTGAAGCTCACTCCACCATGGATGTTAAAACATATCATTATTTTTATGACTTCTTCCTTTCACCTTTATTTTTCAACTTATTGATCTTCAGCAATCTGACAATTTTCATACCCAATCAGGATTTAACCAAACTGTGGCATTTACTATCCAAAATATAAGTAGTCTCTTTGCCAATGAAAGGGAAAATTCAGTTTCAACAGCTTTAAAATTTTCACTGTTAAGAGCACTAAAAATCATCTTAATATAAATCACATGGAAAAAAAATTGTATACATTTTTGATTCCTGTCATTTAAAGATGGCAGCAATGTTACACATAAAATAAGCTCACTCAAACATGTTTAATGGAAGTAGGTGTTGTACATATATATATGTAGGTTTAGGTTGTTTGTTTCATACTGGTGCAAATAATTGTTTTATTTTAAGCTTTTTTCAAAAGCACATCCATTGCAATACCTTCTGCAGTTACAAACTGACCTGTCCATACATTTCCTCTCTCTGTGATCTTCAGTGTCAGTGGGAGTCAAGTCTCTCTGTTTTGAAATGGGTCTGTTCATTTTGCTCAGCCTTCACAGTTTGCTAGCACATCGTTTCAGTGTAAGTATTACATTACTATTGTCATCTTGTGGTTGTGTAAAAAAAAAACAAAACTACTGTAAAAATGTCTTGAGACCTGGCTAAATGGGTAAATTCTATTTTGGCTGTATTTTTAAAAATAAATTGTAACTTTCTATTGCAGAAAAAAATTGCGATCACCTATGACTTTGTTAGTGTTTCATATGGATTGACTTACAGACCTAAACCAGGGTACCTGATCACAGAGTTTGTGGGTCTTGCACAGTTTTATTACACAATGTAGTAGTGTCGATTATAGTCCGTCTCTGGGATTTGTGGTAACTGCAGTGTCTTGCTCTGTGCTTATTTTTGTGGCATTAGCCCTCCATTTCCATCTTTCCTACTTTCTACGCTATGAATTTGAAAATGTAATAAGCGACTTTAAAATTTCATTTGCCAATTTCTTTTTCTTTTTAAAACCTGACAAAAATATGTATTGTAATGAACCCTGATCACAGATTTTCATGTCATATATATTCATGCCATATTTTCATTGTCAGTAAACAGTTCCAGTGGTTCATCTGAAAGATGGCTAAATGCCTGTGTAGAAGTGAGTATTAGTTTTCAAAGAAAGAGCAAATGAAGACTTTACAGAGAGGTTTTTTTTCTGCTATATGGCAAGATGAATAAAAGCACTAGAAATTGGCTGGCCTGCCTTGGAGTATAACAATAAGCCGAGTAAATGGCAAAACTGTTTTTCTTACATGTTACTTACAAGGCTCACTTCAGATTCAGTACTTTGCTTTAATCGGGAAGACATCCATTATTTTCAGTCAGCTTTATTGATAAAATAAGTTTACTATACAGTACACAATTCTAGCCATAAATTCTTTCAAGCCATCTGCATTACAAAAATAACAGGTATGCAATGAAAAACAGTCATTCCACACGCTGTGAAGGTTCTTTGAAATCCTAAAGTGATCAGGTCAGGGGAACAAAAGGGGAGACATATCAAACGTGAAGACTAGGAGTAGATAAATTAAGTCACATTTTTTTAAATTTACAAAAATAAACACTAATCAAGCATTATTTCATAATAGAGCAACCTTAAACAATTGCCACAGACTAACAACCCCGTGTCCGTTATACAACTCTGGAGATTGCATTTGAAAGACAAAGCAGAAAGTCAGCTGTGAAACTGCACTCAATGGATACTAATGCCTCTGACACCAGTGTATGGCTGGAAAGACACTTGTAAAAACAATAACTTCATCAACTGAACGCCAAGTTTCTCATAAGTTTGCAACAACAAAACACTCCATTAAAAAAAAAAATGTCGCTTTTGATAAGTCACCAGCTTGGAAGCTACAGCAGAAATGCAAAAATCTGAATTATAGAAGCAATGGCAAAGTTTCACAGGTAATAGCAGACAAGTACATTTTGTGTGTGAGCTAAAATGTTCTGAAAAAATCCACCCCCCCGATGTTTAACAAGTTTGGAAATGGCTAAAACTTTTTTCCATGCACATGAATGTCCTCAATATAGTCTTAAGCCTAGAAACAAGCTAAGATGCTCTGGAAAGAAGGAGCAGTTTTTCCACTTACAAAAAAAAAAGCACTGTGAAAATTCAGAGAGCTTGATTTATCTGTCCTTTCAGCTGCATTTCCTAGCATATAAAGCTAAAAACTAGCATTTATTGTCTCCTAAACAATTTATTTCTCACCACTTTACTTTTTTCTCTTAAAAGCACTACAGGAAGGAGGGCAGCAGCTGACAGCAACAGAACAGAAATATTAAGCTCCCCATAAATAAGCTCACCAGCAACTCAATATTCCCCCTTAGAACTGTGGTGCATTTACCCTGAGACTGGGGAAGCTGTACTGAGTCAACACTGGAAAATAGTTTAATAGATTAATAGTTGACTTCAGAATAGGAATTCAACTCATTTTGCTAGCTGAGTTCAATGGTGGGTGTCATTTGTAGGTCTGCAGTTCCCTGTGTTGAAAGCTTTCACTCTGCTTGAGGACACTTTCCAAGTAAAGAATAGGTTAATGTGCGGGACAGAAGATGACGATACATGCCAGTACCAGCAACATGCCTGCTGCTTTGGCCAAGTCTGACAACAGCCAAATATGAATTATTTCAGCACCTCTTTACTCTTTACCTCTTGTGTAGCACTTGGTCTAGGAAAGCCAGCTCCTTTTCACTTTGCAAGTATTTCAGGAAGAAAAATGAGCAGTCTGTCAGCAGAGCAGATTGGAGCCTTTCCTAGTGCAAAAGTACCACATACCTTGAAAATTACCTAAAAACATTCTTGATGACCAGTACCTAAAGAAAAGTTTAAGAGCATTGCTTGCAGGCACGCAGGCTGCCAACTTTGCCATAGAGCTTCTCCCTCCTTCCCCAAAAACATTTCTGCTGTTGCTGTTTGGATGCTTTCAAATTGCTGGTTCCCAGCTAGGAAGCTTGGGCAGGCAATTGCAGAAGAAATAGATGGGACCAATGTGGCCTTTTACCTATAGAGAACTGAGCCTGTTTTCCTCTCAGAAAAGTAAAAAACTAAAGCATAATTACCCTGTGCTACCTGTGTTCCAGAAATCAATAAAGTGGGAGCAGCTCTTTCCATGTTTTGAAAATCCAGTTAAGTACAAATTTTGAACAAACTTTTTCAATTTAAACCAAATATTGAACCACTGCAAAAGCATTGCTTATTTTTAATTTCACTTATATTTGAACAGGATAGCCTGTGTCTAAATAACAGAAATCTTTTAAAGTTTTACGCTGCCTATGCACCTTTTCCATTAAACAAGTTTGTTGCAAAATGAAAATTTATTATAAACCTACTAAAAGGCAAAAATGTAATTTGGATTGTGCACAAAGCATGTTCATATGTTACAACTATTTAGCCAGAGATAAGACTAAGTCTTACCTTTATGATATAATAGGTGCAGAGAAACTTTGTATGAGCAAGAATTTATATAAATAATGTGAAAGCTTGTCTTATCTGTAAAATGAGTTAATATAAAAATAATTCCCAATTCAGTAAGTGCACTAATCCATTTCCCACTGAAGTCAGATCTATGGCAATCGATCTGTCGCTAAGGATTTTGCAGAACACAGATTTCATTTTACACAGTATAAAAGCCACTAAACTGGAGTTTCAGATGCATTATCTTGCTGGTGCCCTATTCAGTAACAAGTGCTTGACAAGTGACCCCCTGATACTCTGTAAAGTGTGCAACTGAAGCTTGTTGACTTCCATAGTCTTCAGCTTTTCCTCAGGCTCAAATCACTGCTTGTTACTAATCCTGACAGGGATGTGCTCTCTGATGCATCTTCTTTCTTGAGGTTCAGAAATGATTCTCTAGTTATCTGCAGAATTTCTCTCAAGCCTTTGTTTTCCTGCTATAGCCAGAGAAAGAAAAAGGCGTGTAATACAACTCCAGAAAGAAGTCAAGACAACAATGTTAATAACCTCCCCTCTACTCCAAACATGTCTAAGGGCAGAAATACTGATTTGCAGTCAGGTAGTGCTATGTTATCTTCTAAAACTAACCCTGACCCTCCTGCTCTCCTGAATCAGCATTAAGCATAGAAAGGGTAAAAAAAAAAAAAAAAAGGTCAAAACACAAAGATAGGTAAGAAAAGTAGGTTCAAATGTTGCACTTAAAAAAAAAAAAAAAAAAAGCCCTGTTCTTTCCATACACCCTGTCCCATAACAAACTGCTTTGCTAGTACTTGAAGAGCAGTAGTGTTGATTCTCTTTGGTATTATTTGCATCCTAGTATTTGGTATTATTTGCATCCTAGTGTCTTATTAAGGTGAACTTGTATTATTTCCTGGCTTTCTGCTACACTCAGAGACTTCAAAAATAAGAAAGCTTTAAGCCAGTATATAAATACAAATCCCTTGTCCTCCAACATGGGAAGTGCAACAAAACAGCACTATGAGTGGCTGGTACAGGAACTCACCTGAAATAACTGTGATAACATTTACTGCCTTGCTATGGGTGCCACTGCTGTTCTGACCTCCTGCTTACCTCGAGCTGAGTGATACGTTCCTGCTCTTTACAGCCCTGCTTTTCATCAATTTCAATGGCTTTTCTCATCACTGCTGCCATTTCTGTGATCTGGTCCATGTGCACTTGCAGCTCCTAACATGTAAAAGTTAAACAATGATGGCTTTAGTACTAGATTTTCTGCATTATTAAAAACAAGCAAAGCATTAAATGTGCATTTTTAACTGCTATACCACTCAATAAAAATGCGAACACAGACCTGAATTTCAGAAACAGAAAAAGATTCTGCTTCAAAGATTTCTCAGTCTTATTGAATGTGAAAGCTGATCAGAACAATAAATCATGGAACTGCAGAAATCCGAAGTATCAGGTTAAGGGAGATAAATCCTCTTCATTAGGCATTCTTGTGTGAGCAGATTTAAACAAAACGCCAAAGCCTATATCTCCTGTTTAAAGAACTTTTTTTTTTTTTTTTTTTTTTACCCCAAGCTTTTATTCCAGAGAGGTATTCCTAAATGAAATTTAAAAGTCCTTTTCTGGATACATACAATTTTATCCTCTTGTCTTGATACTCCTGAGGCTGTAAAATGTTATACTATCTGTGAAGTTAACTACTTTGGAGAAGATATATACCTGTCATTTTTCAGGAGTTTGTTTTGTTAAAGATACAGTTCTAATCCAGTAAACTTTCCTACCAATTGAAGTAGTGTCATTGACTCTCCAGTGCTAATATGGACATATTACATACATGTGATTTTGTAAAGATATAAAAAAAAGCATCAATTCTTAAACTATGTCTTCCCAGTATGCAGACTCTAACTCTGCTTTGCAGACTTGGTTTGTTAAGGTCAAAGATTCTCAAACATGTAAAACTAATGTTTGCCTACGCAGTTACACTGCTCTCTGATTACAATTAATCTAAAATGTATATAATAAAGTTCCTGTTTTGATCTAGAATAATAAATTTTCCTGAAAATACATTAAAAAAGCTTAAACTATATATCAATGCTATAAAACCACATCTTGATTTTATACAAAGCTGCTGAATACTCATTTATACCTCACTCATGATAGTTTACAAAAATGCTGCCTAATGGTGCTTTGCTTTTCTAGTTTTCAAAAGCCTTAAGATGAAGCACACCTGATACCAGCAACTTTCACCCCCTTTCAAGCATCTCAGGCTGCCCTGGATTCTACTTGGCAATTCTGTCCAGTACTGAAACAAGAATCAAGGGTTGAAGCAGGAAAAGAAGTGTATGGTCAGTTATTCAATATTCAAGAGGGCTTTTAAAATATTTTTTTTAAAAAATCTACAAAATTTAGGAGGGAAAAAATATTGGTACATTGAATTTAAAAGCTTCCTCCTACTACTCTCCGCAGTAAGCACGAGTTTACTAACTACTTGTAGGATTCACAGTCATAAGTTAAAGAGTCTAAGTACTACCGAGATCTGTGGGGATTTGCAAGTAAGCAGTTGCCTTAAAGGCCAAAGCAAACCAGAAGTAAATTAAGTAGACACAGTAATGAAATGCTACTTGTTAAAAGCTTAAATAAATGAGAAGGTAGTAAGGTTGACTTAAGTTTCCTGTTCAGGTTTCATGGATTGGATTATAAAAATTAGAACTTGTTAGTATAGTGACATAAACAGCACAACAAAGCAAGCTTTGAACTGATCCACTACAAATTAAGTGTTAACTAAGAAACACAAAGGGAAAAAAGAAGTTATTACCTTGGAATGTTGTTCTTTTAACTTCATTATTATACTTGGATCATCCTTTTTGCTTGCCATAAGCAACCTAAACATCTGTTCTCTGTACTTGCTCATTATGAGTTCCAAAGCAGACTGATGTTCTTCAAGAGACGTGCGTAGTTCTGCCAATATAATTTTAAATTCAGTTAAACAGAGAAGAACTGAAACAAAATACACAAGTACTTTCAGCTTCATAAAGCCAAAGTAAGCCCTTAATTGTGTCCTCTCTCCTTGCACCATAAAAATCTAAGTAGGCTTTGCCAATGTCTTCAATGGTGACTGCCCACATGTTCAAAATTCTTGTTTAGTCAGAAACAGAAGGTCTTTTTTTGATATGACTTCATATTCAGTCCCTTTGGCTGACATCTTGAGTGTCTCTGAGGAGCTTCACTCTGACATCTATAAACTACACTGTACATTAGCTAGAAATAAGTTTACAGATCTGTTCCAATCTGCAGTAAATATTGGTAAAATAAGAGTTAAAAAAATGCTTGTGCTCCAAATATACTACAGTCAAAGGACAAATAACTCCTCAGATAAGATTCATACAAATGGAGATCATTGACTCTTTTGTTGAATATACCTGTTACAATATCTACGGTATTCCAAGAGGAACAGAATTCCAGAAAGAACTCTACACCACACTTATACTACAACTTGTCCTGACTGCTCCTAAATGAGTTATTTTTAGCAGTTGGAAAACACATTTCCAAATAAGATATCTATATGGCAGAATTAAGTTATATTTATCTCCTCACTTGTGCTGAAAATTAGAAAAAGACTGAAAAAGTAATTTTCCACAACTCTGTCTTTTGGTTAATCACAGTCCCAGTGGTTGGACATCATTGGGACTCTATTAGATTTCATTAAGAACAGTTAACTGATAGACAGAAGAAAAAAATAACTTCTTGAGAATAATTAACTGTAAAAGTCTCACTGATTCCACTGGTGCAGGCTGGAACTTGAAAAGGATAGAATAATCGTGTTTTACCTTTATTTTCCTGTTGTAATTCCCTAATCTGCCTGTTTTCTTGCTGGATACCCATCACTAACATTGACCGAGGGCGATGTCTTGCTACTTCATTGAGCTCTTGAATTTCTTCTTGGTACTAGTCATGAAAAAAACAAACAAACAAAACAGAACCACAACATATTTGAGTAACTGAAGGTAAGCAATCACAAAGGAACTGTTCTATTGTCTGTCAAAGCATGTTACCAGCAAGATAATGCTTGTTTTTAAATAACGGTATCACACAGACACTTCTGAAGGTGTTACCAACGTACTGCCCTTTAGAGACACCAAAGCATCACACCACCCTTGTTTTTAAACAGGTTTCATACCTCAATGTGTGTAGTGGGCATTATTTAACCTTCAATTAATGCAGATCAAATATCAGTAATTTAAAACTGATATACATATGGTCAAGAAAAACCACAAGGGGGTAACCTCTAGGTACTTACTGTGGCTTCCCATTACCTTAAATCACATGGTTGCATGAGTTCAACTCGCATGGATCTGACTGAATGAATCCTGACAAACAGGTAAATTCAATACTCTTGATCTGAAGTTATGAAGTCTCTGCACGACTAGTCTTACAGGTGCGAACCACAGGCAGGGTTTTATTATTTTGCAGGCCCGTTACCACACCCTGTGTTGTATTAAAACGACCAGATCAACTCCCATCTGGAAAGTCAGTAGACACCTTAATGTTTTTCCAGAGGAAAGTCTAACAACATGCCTTGAATAGCTTAACATCAGAATGGAAATAGTCACAAAAAAGCCTAAGAGGGTACTCTGAAACAAGACGAGACAGTGAAGAGATTAACTATTCTAAACAGAAGAAAGTATGAGAGGGCCTCTGATTAAACATGCACCTTGAAATAGAACAAGTATTATTTCACAGAAGAGCAAAACACAAGACACCACACAGTGCTTTGTAAGATACCAACCCCATTTCTACCAGTGTTCTTCAAATAAATGCTAGTTTTCAATATTTAAACTAGAGCAACAGAGAAAAATTCTTCACAGGATCAAACTAAATATATAAATGACCTATTTTAGATCATAGTCACACCTATGGTGAAAATACTTCATATAGCATTAAAGGATTAACCAAGTAACATACTGATTGCACAGTATCACACAAAAATTATTTTAAATTATGTGTTTCCAAGTTGTTCTTTTAATGGAGTAAACAAAGTTGGAAAACAAACCTGTTTCATTGCTTCAACCCGCTTGTTAAGAGCTGTCGTCTGTTCAATAAGGGCTTCTGCTGCGTTGTCATGTTCCCTTAGCCGCTCCACCAGAGCTTTGGCATCTGCCAAGGCTCGCTCAATTGTGCAACTCATTTCTAAAGAACAGAAATGTGTCATTTTCACACCACCACCGGTTTGTTACACAGAGGACAAACAGCTATGTGATATAGAACTACTTTTGTTTAAGTCTAAAGCAGCTGAATACTACCTTTTGTCCAGAAACATTTGTCATTTTATTGTCTTTTAGGAGTAGGAAAAATGTATGTACCTCTAAGAATACCCTAAAGTCTACCTTTCCTTTATTAATTCTTGTTGAGACCATATATCAGAGCAAGAAAACCAAAGTAAACTCCATTATGAGGAGAATATCCATATGCTAAGTGCAAGAGTATTACCGAATGTATGGAAAGCAAGCAGTGCATGTCCTTCTGTAAGTAGCAGAGAGAGACAGACAAAAAAGACTATTATATTACCTGAATTAGTTAATTGCTAAACTTGCAAAATGCTTGCCCATAGTAGCAATTCCAAATATTGGCCTTTACATGGAATTTTTTTCATATTCGTGCTTGATAATCTATCTAAGATTCAAGACTGAGATTTGCAGCCTAAATTTTTCTTTTAAGAAACATTGTGCTACTTTTTGCACTGAAGAGGAAATCTGCTTGAACTCCTTGAACAGTTCTTCAGCAATCAGACAGCAACGATAGAAGTTTAGCAGTTATCGGCCTTATTGATGTAAGGCTTATTGATTGTTTCAGGAAATTTTCCATGGTACTGAAAGAACCAGCCAAATCCATTTCTTACCCAGGTGGTTTGCTAAAGGAGAGATTTCTGTAAGCATAAAAATTCAGAGCCATACGAAAGAAAAAAAAAAAAAATTGTTCCAAGTTGGTTTTCTAACTTTCTCTGTCACTTTTACAAATCATAGCCTAGGATCTCTCACCTGAGCTTGAAGAAATCCTCACATTTGTTTTCCTTAACTGACCTTTTCTCACTGTCCCAGGTACATAGTAGAAGTAAGGATATGATATTTCAAATACCAGCAATTCCACCACTCCTCTCACAAGATTTACAAACATAGTGGGAATATCCTGCCCTCATGCATTAAGGTGAGACAAAACTAGGCAAGACAGCAGCAGGGTTTGGAACATTCTCTCTGAACAGCTCTTGTGCACGCAGAACAGACCAGCAAGGGCTAACCTCTCAAAAGCATTTTAAGTTGCTAATTTCATTAGTGCCTTCCTCTGCTCTGAGGAGCACATGTAATAGAAAAGCACCGAGTCTGCTGCTTCTGTGTAGAAGGGGCTTCCAGGGACCCTGCCGTCACAGAAAGCTTGAGACCTGTTTACTGAAAGAGTGAGCTTGGAGTGTGCACAGAGCACAACTGTTTTAATCTGTGATTTCTATGTTTCAGGCATTACTGAAAGCATGAGTATGTTAGCACATACAAGTTTCCCACAGACATTCATAATGTTAACTCCTTCCTGATTATCAACTAGAGTCTTCATTTTAATTTCCGTCTGATATATGTGTGTATTTCAGGTATCAAGTTCTTCAGCAGACGGCCGTGTTACCACAGGTAGTTAATGATTTATTCTGGTTTAGCAATTTGAGCTCTCTCAATATTATGTAGAAAGGAATCATACTGAGTTGGTTTTACGGATCTACTTTTCTTGCTCCCCATTTCTCCTTCCAATTCCGCTCTTGGATTCTTACTGCACGACAAAAATATTGCACACAAAAGCTGACCTTCCACACCAGCTGCCTAAACTGTCACAGAAATTGATTTAATCAGATCCATATTTGAGGAGAATTTGAAGAGTAGTCTTTAACTCAATTCATGGCTCATGAATTCTCTAGCCAGAATAAACAAAGCCTCTCAGGCCTCTCCAGGACCTTGGAATCCATTTGGCATTCAGACTATAACGCAGTTAGCACCTTTAATAATTTGTATGCATCAGTATTAATTTCTAGAGACAGCACAAATTCACCTTCTCATGTATTTCTCATTTTTATCTGACCCAACAAGATAAAAAATTCCCATTTTGTAGCAAAGCCATCGGCCTTCTTGTTCACAACAAATGAGCTGGGAAAGACACGTTTGTGCCCTGCGAGGAATGCAGCCGCCCATATTCAGAGGTAAATATCCACCCTCACAGCACAGCCAGCACAGCAGCTTTGGGAGGCCAGAGGCCATCTCCTGCTTTCATGCAGGGCTTGTACCTCAAAGAGGAGAATTGTTATTTCTATCATGCTGATTCAGAGGGGCTCCAAATCTTGAATAAGGTTCATTTGGGCAAGACACTGGCACTAACCATTGGAATTTAAAATTCTCCCTCTGCCGATGAAAAACAAAATTTCTGTCTTACCCTAAAAGAGATCTAAATCTGTGAGTTAACCTGGACATTTAGGGAGAAAAAATGCCCCAACCAAATTAATCAAATACAATCGATCTGAACCAATCTATTTTTTTTCTGAGCAAGAGGACTACAGTAGCTAAACTTCGCGATGCCTGAACTCTACCCTACAAGACATGCCCAACTGCAAATATACTTGCTAGTCCGCAGTCTTACCAACAGGGTCAACAGGTAGCAAGAGCAACAATTCAAACAACATAGCAACACTACTACTACACATTAATTTCCTGTCACTTCCTGCTATTTACTAATTACTTTCATTATCAAATTTGGGTGCCTATAAAACAAGCAACAGGAAAAAAAATTTTGCAACGCTGAACCACGCTCCAGTTTCTGAGAGTTTTAGGCTGGGTGCAAACGTCCGCCTGTACCCTCGGCGCTACAGGAGCGTCCCG